GGTGCTGTCAGCGAACTGCGGGTGGGGGCTGCTTTATTTTTTTTGGGGTAGTTTTTTCTTCTTTACAAGTAATTAATCTCACATTAATAAAAGGATATAGATGTGTTCACCATCACTGGTGAGCTTACCACTTTTGTTCTTGTAAACATTCTTTGGTGCTGTCAGCGAACTGCGGGTGGGGGCTGCTTTATTTTTTTTGGGGTAGTTTTTTCTTCTTTACAAGTAATTAATCTCACATTAATAAAAGGATATAGATGTGTTCACCATCACTGGTGAGCTTACCACTTTTGTTCTTGTAAACATTCTTTTCATTTGCTAGGAGTTTGTTCTCCTTGAAATTGAAATATTGTTGTGCAAATGGAAGGGAAGCAAAATTCCACCTGTATTGGTGGTTCATAAATTCATATATGAGTTTTTTCAAAATATCTCATTTTAAATAAATGAGGATAAACTGCATGTCATAGAAAAGCTAAAATCATAGGATATATAGTAAATTAAATATGTAATGTTTCTAGTAGTAGTAGTAATAACAATAAAAAATTTATCATTCGTCATTCCTCCAACCAATAACAATTGTTTTAGTATATAGTAATAGATAAGATAGTGATGACAACCCAGACGTGTACTATTATTTACTTGCTAAATCCTTGATGAATACCAAAATAATCACAGGAACTTTAGACTTTTTTACAACATAAAAAGCCTCGTCACACGTATGAGTCAATAAGCTATTGAAATGTGCTAAGTTGATATCTCAAAAGTTCAAAAGAAAATACTGAAAGAGCATGCTTCATTTTCCTAGTTATAGAAATTACAATCATTCTCTTTATTAGATAAAAGCAAATAAGGATTTACCTCAACTTTATGTAAACCTCCTAAAGCACAAAAAAATTAGAAAAAAAAGATTGTACGAAAAAGAATTTTATCAAACATATGATCTTTACTCTGCATGTTTATTTTTATGTAGTATCCAAATAACTCACAAAAAATAACATCTCAATTCTCATAAACAGAGTTCGTGTGCTTATTTTTTAATTCTTCTTTGATAATATCAAGAAAGAATGTCTTATGCACAATAAAAATTACAAATGACTAATAACTACAAAGGGAGTGGGCATTGTCGTAGACACACCCTTGGCCTTTTGAGCCAATAACCAAATCCCCAATCACTATTGTTCACGTAAATGATTTCATAATACTCAAAAAGTTTTGAGGGTCTAGTTTCAAAAAATGAAGAGTTTGGGATTCAAAATACGAAAGGTGTTGGGGACTAACACGAAAAATCCCTTTTTTTCCACAAATCTTAGTCTCACCGCGTGGGTGAGTCTAACCCTCCCAACTTCTCAATCCTATCAAAATCAATAATTATGTCCCGTTGGACGACAGTCTTCACAGAAGTAATCCAACAAATCTCCTTCATCCGATGTTTAAGTAACTCTCAACTTCTACACTTCTATAAATGCGGTCAAGAATAATAATAATAATAATAATAAATAAATAAATACATACATACATCATTAAAAACAAAACGAAAAAGAAAAAGGGGAAAAAAGAAGCTCTCACCTGTCTCTTTATTTTTCCCCTTTTCTTCTTCTTTCTCTTTCTGCTCTCTTACGTTCTTCTCCCAAAATCCCTAATTCCAATGCTTGAAGTTGTCTATTTGGAGCGGGTTTTGAACGGTGGTGGATTTGGATCCGGTATGCGAACTGAAACGGCGCGTCGAGAGCTCGATCTCTTGTGCTTAGCTTGAAAAAGGCGGGATTTTTTTATGAGTATTTGGTGCAAGGATAGGGAGATTTTTAAGCTTTCAGCATGCATTTCGCCAAGCTTGATGATTCGCCTATGTTCCGAAAACAGGTAACGAAATCTCACATCTTTTTGCCTTTTTTTTGCGATTTTTCTTCTACAAGTTTTCGAAATGTCGCTGCTTCAAGTGATGATTTATTGAAGACTTTCTTAGATTAAGCGTAATTACGATTTTAGTGAGATGTTTTGCAAAAAGAACCCTCTTTGATTGTTAAATGTTTCCCTAGTGGGAAAAGTGAATCGCCATTTTCAGGGCTATATCCAGTGAAGTGTCCATAGATCTTGTTGACATTCTAATTAGTAATATGAATTTTGATCAGAAGTGGAAGTAAGTGTTACTTGTTGTTTCATGAATCTTGAGTCTTGACCAGAACAAAGGTGGAGGCATATTCTCCTTTAGGGAGGTTTTGTTATTAAGCATTAGTTGACAATTTTAAGTTCTAAACTTCCAACAGTAGCTAGGGTTTCCTATATTCTCATTATCTAGACTTCAAAGTCAAATGGTAGTAGATGCTGGATCCATTTTCGGATTTGGGTGGTTCTGGCTAGCTTGGAAGTTATAGAAGAAGAGTTAACAGGGAGGGAGGGAGGGAGGAAGGGGTGGATAGGACCAATGAATGTGTGATAACAGGTGGAGCTTCCACAAGAGAAAGGAGAGAGGAAGAGAAATGATTAAGTATAAGGGTAAATTAGTTATTTTTAAAAATGTACAATCATCTTAGTTAATAGAAATATAGAGAATATTTCCTTGTTGATTCTCTAACAATAATAGGGAGAAGTGGACCAATGAGTTTGGATCAATTGTTCAGAAACCGTTAAGTGCTTCTGAGTGCCGGACCTAGCGTCCAGTGCCCTAGCTTCTAGGCATATGGCGGTGTGCAACTTTTTTGGCACTTTGTTTTGTAAGGCGTCCGTCGCGGTCAGAGGCATGAGATTTACAACTCTAGGAGAAAAGAGAAAGATCGAGGGATTAGAGAATTCATCAAAAGAGGAATGTGTTTTTTTCGAACATTCAAAATCCCATCCTCTTGTTTTTTTCTAAGATGGGTTTATATCTCGAGTTTTAATATGATTTATTTTGATCTGACACAAATTTTCTTCCCTTTAGTACGCTTAAGAAGGCATCATACCCATTTTTTTTTACCATGATCGGTTAGGTTTTCTTAACAATCTACGTGTGGCCTGAGCACAACTTAAGCCAAGGATCTTAAACAAATTTCTGTATGTAGTTTGGGGAGTATGTTAGCAAATAGAAAGACTTAAGAGAGTAGTACCAAAAGTTTTGCAACATTTTTAGCAATCCATGTAGTAAACTATTTATTTTTCAATTGCACATGAATATATACAACATATGATTTAATGAAGAATCATTTACGTGACCTTGAATATGATATGAATCATCCTTTATGGTAGTCTTACTTTTGTAATTTCATTTAGACCTAGTTTTGTTTAACTGCAATATTCACAAACAATAATAATAGACAACAAAGGAAAAAGAAACTTATCTCATTGAACATAGATTGTATGTTCTTTTCAATTCATTAATTCATTGATCTGAACAAAGAATCACTGATTGCTTCCACATAGAATTACCTATGATTAGTTTAATTAGCATTTTTCTAATAGAAAAGAAAAGAAAAGAAAGGTTAGCTTTCAGACATCTAGTGGATTGACAAGCCCTTCCGATCAATATAACCTCATTTAGTCGTGGAATATTGTCTACTTTTTCTTTTCCTGACAGCGAATTTTGCACGGAGTTTCCCCTATTATTTGCAGGGATAAGGATAATACTAGATATCACATTGGAAAAGTTGATACCTTGCATGTAACACAATACAATTTCTTTGCTAAATAGACTCATGCCTTCAAACTAATAATTATATATGTATATGTTAAATTAAGTATTGGGTATTGGGTTAATGGGCTATTACCCGTTAACCTTAACCCTATTTGTATGGCTATATATATCTCTCTTATTATCTCAATAAACAATAAGTTAGGGTTTTGCTCTCTCTATTATCTCTTTCTAGTTAGGGTTTTGCTCTCTCTATTATCTCTTTCTACAATATATATTAATAAATATTTTAGTATTAACAATAAAAAGGTTGAAGTTTCTATAGATAATACTCTGGCCCTTTGTGTAGTAGGATATTTAGATCCTTCCTAAAACTTGGATTTTGAACGGTTAATTTAGATATCTGAAATCACTATCTGTATTCGTATCCATATTTTTAATGGGGCATATAAGCCCCTTAATCTACATCTTTAGTGCATATAACCCCTTTAACTCATTTATTATCAGTTAGCACCCCTGGATTGTTTTAGAAAGATAAATTGCTTGTAACACCCCTCTTCCTAATGAATTGAGAGGGCAAACTACTAATGAATAAGTTGATCGGGGTTATTTGCTATTGAAAGAATAGATGAGGGATGGGGGGTTATTTGCCCCGTTTAAACTCACACACATAAATAACGCTTATATATAGGGGATACTGGTTATGAGCTGTCACCTCATTTAGATCATTTAGAAAAAGGAAAAATAATGAGTACCAATAGATAGGAGTGGTGAGATCCACATACTCCAATTTAACAAACAAGATCGTTCTCACCTGTACTTCATCCGTTGGTAGTCCACTTAATGAGGTACCAATTCATACCAATGCACACATGAGTCTCAATTAGATTTAGTTTGCATCATCAAATTTTTTACATCCATATATGAACCCTTCGTATCCCATTTTGTCACCGAGAGGGTACCAAATAAGTAGCTGCACATGTTTTCATACTGTATCCAATATCATAGGATAGTGTTTAAATTGACATGTTGGAAGAAACAAGAAAGCCTGCGCTACATTACATTTTACGTTGTGGTAATAAAGATTTTTAGCTCAGCTCAAGCAAGAAAAATTATCAAATTCGCTATTATTTTCTTAAACAGTCTTTGCAGCTACCAATTAAACACACTGTTAGTTGAAGTTTTGTGTCATTATTACTGCTAATGTTTACATGGAACTAAGGACTTTTTATCTTTCTGATGATAACCAGATTCAATCACTTGAAGAAGGTGCAGAATCATTGAGGGAAAGATGTATGAAGTTTTACAAGGGCTCTCGGAAATACACGTACGTGATCATAGTCCTGCCTTGATAATGTGAATTGAAGTTTCTCCCATAATTTTTTTTTTACTATAGAAATGGCTTCATTAAGGATTCACAGAATCATGCTGTTTGAGATTAGACCCTGTTAATATAATTTGTCCATGTGGTTCGTGTACTCTAGTTGTTTAAACAGGAATATATGTGTAGTTGTGTGTTGCGCGCATGCACACACACACATGAACTTTGAAGACTAAAAATGATATATTCTCCTATATGTACATACTACACACAAACATGCAGAGGGAGAGGGAAGAGGGAGAAGTGGCTTTTGAATTATTAATTTATCAATTTTAATTCTCTGCCACCATCCCTTGAGTATGTATCAAATGTACATTGTTTAGAGGTTGGGAGGGAAGTTAGGGAGGGATTGAGTTGGTAGGCCAAACAATTTTCCATCTTTTAAATTCTTAATTTATCATTTTTTAAATTCTCTTCCTTATGATGTTATGTATCTAGAGGGCTTCCTCTAGGAGCTTCAAATAATCAAAAGACACCAACTAAGCAGTGTAACTTGTGTGATATATTCTCATTCTGGTACCAGAATTTTTCCTTTCCATCTTGGCATAGTTGCATCTATTAAATAACAAGCCCTATCTTTGACCTTATTGTTATTTAGAGTTCCTTCCATAAATAATACCCTGTTTCTGAAATTCTTAATAATGGTGAGGGTCACACTTTCTAATGTTTTCTACATGTCTTAAATCCTTCTGACCAATTCACTGTTGATTTTCTTATCATGGTTGCAAAATTCTGTTGTACATGTCCTAACTTTTCCAGGTTATCTGTGAGTTATTCTCTGTTGATCAAGGCGACTTCCATCAATAAGATCATATCTCTAAAATTCTTAATAGCAGCGAGGGTCATATTGTCTAATGTCTTCCACATACTTGTCTTTAATACTTGTGACAAATCCATTATTCATTTCCTTATCATGGTTTTAAAATTATGTTGAACATATACTTACTTTTCTGGGTTATCTGTAAGTTTGTAGACGCACAAAAAATTTCATGTATCAACAAGCCATAAAGGGTTTAATATCTTTTGATAAGCTTTGAAAGTGAAATCAACTTGAGGATACCTACAGCTCATATACAAGTTAACTTGAAGGTAGGCTCTCTCTATTAATTAATTCAAAGAGGCACGCCTTCCCCTTGTAGTTATCAAATTTGATGAGCTCAACAAGCCTTATCAATAAAACTTATTGTGAGGATGATAGTACCTCATATAAATCAAAACCAGTGTGAGTGATAGTACCTCATATAAGTCAAAACCAATGTAGGTAGCCCCTCCATATTAATTCATTCAGAGAGGCATGTCTTTCCTTTGTAATTGTCAAATTTGATGAGCTCAACAAGCTTTATCAACGAAACTTGTTGTGAGGATGATAGTATCTTATATAAATCAAAACCAATGTGAGGGACAATACCTCACATAAATCAAAACTAATGTGAGAGATAGTACCTCATATAAATAAAAAACGAGGCGAGAGTGACAACACCTCATTTAAACTTGAGAGTATATGCACCCTCTGTTAATCCAACACAAAAAAACACATGGCTTACTCCTTCATATTAACCAAATTCTCAAACTTGAAGGTACATGTCAATTTCGATATATTGGTGTTGTCATGTGATCATAAGTCTTAGCAATAAAATCTAACTTGAGGATATTCACCCTTGTACAAACCTAATTTCGGCTTGAAGGTGTATAGGCTCCCTATAACGTCTATTTTTAATAAACACAAAAGATAAGCGGATACACATATGAGAAGTGAAAAGCAAAGAAAATATTCGTTATGATAAACGAACACAACAATCTTGATAAGGAAGTTTCGATAAGGAAGTTATCATAACTCCACCAATCCTTTTTCAACACTTGGTGATAACTTTCCCTGACCTTCCCTATAGATAGACATTCCTTTCATCACACACAAAAAAAGGGAAGATAACAAAGAACGACAGAAAAGATAAAGAAAAGGCTGAGAGATTAAAAAGAAAGAGAGACTTAGAATCTGAAACAACAACGACAAGGTCCTCTGCATTTTTATTTTGAAAGAGAGGAGGGCTCCAGAAAATTGTCTGCGACCTAAGATTCAATCTTCTTTCTCTTAAATTTTGTAATACATTAGAAAGATAATAAAATCAATATATCTCTGCATTTGATTTCTAATGTCTATTTAATTCTTTGCTTTCTATTAATTAGGGATTTCTTTTAATAAGAGTAATTAACAGGAAAAAATAAATTTCTGGAAGCATGCACCTCACAAATTTTTTTTACAAACAAAGTGATACTAATTTGTATCTAAGGAGTAAATATTTAAGGATTGCTATATTCTTCTTGAGATTGGTGATACGACTTGGTCAAGAAGAAATTAGCCTACCCAAATGTTATTTCTCCTCTGATAGATACTAGCACCACTTTGAATTTTTTTTACAAAATATACACGTCAGGCATTCCGACACATACAAAGTTATTCTCTATTGTTATAGGTTCTCAATCATATATTTCTCTAGTGTGTTAGTTTGTAATTCCGTTGTCTTTATTTTTCACACAATAACATCAACATTCTAACTTAATGCATAGATTGGTATACACAAATATGCAACATGTGCCACTACATTTTATACTTGATAAACAATATCTCTTGATTCTTCACCACAACTTCGGAGTTTTGGTCTAATAATTAGAGGGATTTTAAGTTTCTTCAACCTTTCTAGCTTATGTGTTAATTTTATGTTTACTTTTGATTTGCAGAGAAGGCCTTGGTGAGGGATATGATGGGGATATTGCTTTTGCTAGCTCTCTTGAAATGTTTGGTGGAGGGCATAATGATCCCATAAGTGTTGCTTTTGGAGGTTGTTCCCATGTTGGCAATTTCATTTAGTTATTTTTCCTTTGATTTTTTACTATGACATAAGCACATTTCACATAGATAACCGTATAATTTAATACATGTGCCTTCAATAATTGAATTATTCTGTATTTCCTTGCTGAATAAGCAGATAGCCTAACTGAAAAACAAGCTGTCTATTTGTTTAAATTGCAATTAGCTAAAAGAAATTCATTGTTTGTGTCATTTTTATTCTAGTTATAATCTATAAATCCGTAAAAGATATCACACTGTGATTTTTTTGAATTCTTCATTCTGTCCTTTTGTATATTTCTATGAACTTAATCTGCAATAGATCTATCTTTGCATGCATTTGTAATTTTGTAGGAAGGGTGTGTTTTCTTCAATTTTCTTTTTGTAGTATAAAATTGGAAGTTAACATATTTACCCTCATCCATGTTAAATTGTTCTTAATTGGCTACTAGTTCTTACTATGTAGCTTGTTCCTTCGTAAATACTTCCCAGCTATAGCATACGGTTACCATTGGTTGTCATTCACGAATTTAGACAACACTCATCATCATATGAATATAAACAGGAATACTAATGATTCTAACATAACAGGCTGCTGATCTAACTATATGTTTTGTAGGACCCGTGATGACTAAATTTACAATTGCCTTGAGAGAAATTGGAACGTACAAAGAAGTCCTAAGATCCCAGGTAACCTCTCTAACTTTTTGTCCTATAAGATCCACGTGTTTTTATGTGACCAGTGGCATTCATCGTGCCTTCATATATATTTAGTAATTGCTCCAAACAATATCCAATTGTTGCCTTCTGGAATCTACTATTTCTGCCATTGTTTTGATTAGCCATGTATGACTTTGATATCTTGGCTTTTTAGAATTACAAATCCACTTGTTACCTCCTGCTACAAATATGTTGTTACATGAGGTAGATGGGTTTTGGAGAGACTCAAACCGACTTAGATGAATTTTGCAGTATAAGTACATTGATACTAATCTATACTGCTTATTGCTGTATGTCTTTTCTACCACTATAATTAAATTAAGTAAATTAGAGTTAGTTGCAGAGAACTTCCATGCTACTGAAGATATCATCTCAGTAATGAACGGAAGCATGCTGTAGGACTTAACTATATAGATTTGTTGCTGAATGTGATCTTTTTTCTTGTGCATCATGTATTATATACCACCTGCTTCGCTTGATTGCAAATGATGGCTATCTGCTTCTCTAGAATGTGCTTAATGTAGATTAAAATCTTACCTCTAGATCTAGTCTCTTACTATGTTAAGAATGTGCTTTTTCTGACCAGTGCCCTGCTTATTTTCGTTCACTCAGGTGGAACACATTCTAAATGACAGATTGCTGCAATTTGTAGATATTGATTTGCATGATGTCAAGGTACAAATGTCATTTTACCATACTTTAGAAGCTACATATTTTTGTACAAAGTGTAGGACTGAACCCTTTTTACTCAGTGCTTTAATAATTACATGTTTTTCTCGATAATGTGTTAAAGTGTGGGTTAATTTCACAAAACCCCCCTGAACTTTGGGGGTTGTTGCACATAACCATCTTGAACTTTGTTTATCTCACATAACCCCCTAAACTTTTGGGTGTCTCACAAAACTTCCCTGGCCTTCGAACTCTTCTCAGCAGGCCCCCTTACAATTTGCAAATAACTAAAATTTCATCAAGAGAAAAAAAATCCAAAAGTTAGGAGAGGACATATATTGCTGGTCAATGACAAATGACAAAATTTGTAATTTTTTCTCTCGAGGAAATTTAAGTTATTTGCAAATTACATGTAAGGGAACGGTTGAGAAAAGTTCCAAGTTCAGGGTGTTTTTGTGAGACACCTCAAAGTTAGGGGGTATGTGAGATAAACAAAGTTTAAGAGGATAATGCGCAACACCCTCCAAAGTTCAGGTTAACCCTTAAAGTTTCTGTGAAAACTAAGGGACAATTTGTTTCATATTTGTCTTTTGCGGAAACATTCCAAAATTGGCCTGAACTATTTTTTTCAACTGATACTAGATAAAGCATAAACAAGAC